AAAAAGCCTCCTGAATTTTACTGGCCATGCTCTCCACAAACACCAACTTATTTAGGTAGTAGCAATCTAGTCCTTATATATTATATCTGGCTAAAGCCTTCATTATTCTGGTTGGTAAATGCACTATATTTTTACCCGGCTAAAGCCTTCATTTTCTATCTGGCCAATGCTCTCTAAGCAATATTGTATAAATGAGAATAATGGATAAATTGTTGTATTTTTGTAAAGTTTTAGAAAAGCTATGTTAATATTATAAATGTTGGTCATATCACAGGGTTTGCTTATGGTTTTTTCCTATGGATATCTGTGATCCCTTATGGTTACCAAAGGGCAACTGAGTAGGGGGGAAGAAGGAGGATCAGTGGTCAGATGAGATTCATGGTCTATGTATGCACTGCAGTCATAGCCTTGGTGTGCCCGCAGAGATGCCACCACTGGCATCAGCAGGCTACTGCAGGCAAAGGCAGAGGCTTTGGTCTCTTCCTGGGTCACTATTTGGCAGTGCTATTAAAAAATATAACGAGCTCTGGAAGGACATTTCTGCTGGCAAAGGGAGGAGGACTTTGCCAGTTTCCCCTGTCTGCCACATCATGGCTAGTGCTATGCAAGGGGCGCGGATCCTCTGACCTGACCCCACCCACCTCACCTTGGGGCAGGTTTCAGAGCCACGAGGAAAATGCTGTGGAAGAGAGTAGGAAGGAGAGTTCTGTTCCATAAGCATAGCTCCGCTTTGGGATCACTGGAAGCAGATTCTGTGCCCTTCACAGAGCCACGGCATTTGACAAGAAACAGCCAAAATGATTACAGTGATCTCTCGCCTTTTAAAGTCTGTCTCTCTAAATACATAAATGGAAATATCTTTTTGTGTTGCTTTCAGATTTCACTGATGTTTAAAGGAGAGCAGCATGTATAAAATATTATTTCATTTTTAAAAAATCACTCCTACGGATAAAAAGCGAACAGAAGCAAATACTTTTAAGATATTAACTTCGCCAGAAATTGCATTAGTCAATTTCATTACAAGAGAAAACATTCAATGCAAAACAAGCAAAAAAACCCATCACGGAATATACTTCTGGCATCACTTCTGGCATAAACAATAATGCTACATGCTACGAACAAGAAGTGCCAGCGCTGTCGCTTCTAATTGCCTACAGAGGATGGGCAGTGAGCGAAGTACTATGGAAGGCCACTCTTTGTTCAGCCTTCCTCCAGTTGATCAGCACAGACCAGCTGTTGGGTGGAGGAGAACTGCCCAAACCTTCCCAGGCAATGAATGTGGGCATCCATTCCTCCCCACTCGCAACAGCAGCCATTTCTAGGAGCAGAAGAGAATATAAACTCAAGGAAACCGTTCCCCTCCTTGGTGGACTGGGAAGACCAACTTCTGCCGAAGGACAGCTCAAGTCTCCATTTGAAGCCACAAGGACACCACAGAGGTGTGGGGTGCTCACATTCCTCCTGGCAGAGAGATTAAGCCAACCGCTCTGCAAAATAAGCCCCCTGTTCTGGCTTCTGCAGACTAGTAGTGCTAAGTAAAGTTACACCCTTCTAAACCCATTGACTTCAAGGGCCTTAGAAGGTTGCAGCTCTACTTAGGCTAGTGCTATAACACATGGAGGAGTTGCCAGCAAGCTGAGGGGGGAGGGATTGTCTGCTAAAAGGCATCATGGACCCCAAGGCTGGAAAGGATGGCATTGCAACTAGCTTGTTGAAAGCAAGTCCCCTTACTAAGGGCCCCTTTGGCTAAGGATCCATTTCAATGCCTCACCATCCTCATTTTTTTAACCTGCACCCATATATACACAGTAGAGATTATTTTAACTTATAAGCAATAATTGCAGAATGTTATATCATCAGGTTTTTATTTTATTTATTTATTTATTTATTTATTTATCCTTAAATTTATATCCCGCCCTCCCCGAAGGCTCAGGGCGGCTCACAAGGGGCATAGATGCCCAGGTTACGACACTAAAACAATACAGAATAGTATAAAATACAATAAATACAGTTCTCTAAAAATTACTTTACGGTGTTCCAAAAATATTAAACTATGAAATTCTAGATGGGGTTGTAAAAGTATTTATACTAGAACAACAAGCAACAATAACAACAATAAATAGCAGCAATAATATACGTCCCTACAGCGTTGTCCTCTGCCAGGAACACCTTGCGCCCCCAATAGTACCCGCTCTGAAGATGGTCAATTTGCGGGAATAAAGAGGGGGGTGCAGATGGAATGATGGTAACGATGGTGACGTAATGATGATGGTGTAATGATGGTGGTGGTGGCCCCTACTCGAAAGCCTGGCGGAAGAGCTCCGTTTTGCAGGCCCTGCGGAACTGCACCAAGTCCCGCAGGGGCCAGATATCTTCTGGGAGCTCATTCCACCAGGTAGGAGCCGCCACCGAAAACGCCCTGGCCCTGGTAACCGCAAGTTTGATGTTTCTGGGGCCTGGAATGTCCAGGAGATTTTGGTTCCCTGACCGTAGTGCCCTTGGGGGAACATGTGGGGAGAGGCTGTCCCTAAGGTAAGCCAGACCCTGACCATATAGGGCTTTAAAGGTTAAAACCACCACTTTGAAGTGAATCCAGTACGCCATTGGCAGCCAGTGCAGCGCTTTCAGCACAGGCCGGATGTGATCCCGTCTAGTGAGACCCATCAACAGCCTGGCTGCAGCATTCTGCGACTTGGCAGTGGCTGCCACCTGGGCCTCCATTGTTAAGGAGTAGTCCAGGAGCACACCCAAACTCCTAACCTCCGATGCTGGCACCAAAGGCGCCCCATCGAAGGTCGGGAGAGGGAGCCCCAACCCCAAACCGATCCGACTCAGGCCCAGGACCTCCGTCTTTGCCTGGTTTAGTTTCAGCCGACTCAGTCTGAGCCAACCAGCCACGGCCTGTAACGCCCGATGAAGGTCATCCGGGGTGGAGTCCGACTGGCCGCCCAACATCAGATAGAGCTGGGTGTCATCTGCATATTGATGACACCCAAGCCCACAACTCTGGGCAATCTGGGCAAGGGGGCGCATATAGATATTAAACAGCATCGGGGACAGCACCGCCCCCTGAGGCACCCCACATTCAAGAGGCCACCTCTGGGACCGCTGATCCCCTATTGCCACCCTTTGTTCCCGACCTTGGAGAAAAGAGGCAAACCATTGAAGGGCGCGCCCCTGGGCTAGCAACTGGTGGTTGACCGTGTCAAACGCAGCCGACAGATCTAACAACACCAGTGCCGCCACACCGCCTCGATCCAGATGCCTACGGAGGTTGTCAGTCAGAGCGACCAGAACCGTCTCCGTCCCATGACCCAGGCGAAAGTTGGACTGGAAGGGATCAAGGACAGAAGCGTCATCCAGAAAGCCCTGTAGCTGTATCGCCACCGCCCTCTCAATAAGTTTGCCCAAATAGGGCAAATTGGACACCGGCCAATAGTTGGCCAATTCGGCCGGGTCCAAAGATGGTTTTTTCAAGAGAGGGTGGACCATTGCTTCCTTGAGTGCCCTAGGGAATTGTCCCTCCAAGAGGGACTTGTTGACAATCTCCCTCATACTGATACTTCCTTGACAAGACGAAAGCTACTGTGATGGACTCCACTTCTAAAAGCGTAGAATTGCTGTGTAAACAGATAAAGGGCTGTGAAGGGTCAATTCTTCACAGAACCAGAGAGCCTTGAGTGACAGGCTGTTCCAAGAGATCTGATGAGTCAGCATCAGCTGAACAGAGAGACTTTGGAACTGGATGCTGAGGAGGATTCAGTCTGATCTCAGCCCTAGCTGAGAAGGGTCGAATACTGACAGTTTTGGAATTCAGCCCTGACTGAGAGCAGTTTAACACAGGAGAACTGGGGGAAAGTTGGCAAGGACCAGTGGGTAGTTAGACAGAGACTCCCATTTGGAAAGGGGATAGATCTTCTAGAAAGAGAAGAAATTCCCTACCCAATCAAACAGCTCTGAAGAGTGCAGAGATCCCTGGTTTGATGTGGTTATAAACTGCCTTCGGAAGAGAGTCAGTTAAAAGCTCAAGGCAAGTACTGGTGTTTCAAGAGAAGGGGGGTTGGGTACTGGAAAGATTGTACCAGCCTTCTGGAAACCAAAAGACTCAGAGAATACTCAAAGAATGTGTGCAGGAGTGTTTGGAAAACACTGGAACAAAAGCCTCTCAGCATAAAGATTTTAAGTAACTGTGAATAGCTTAAACTCTCGTTAGCCTGAAATGTAAGAATTAAAGTCTGTGCATGTACTGATTTTACCTGAGAGTTATCTATATTGAGTTACCTCAGAAATTTTACCCCTGACCTTTCCCCTCTATGTTAAATAAAATGTTTTGTCAGTTTGGAATATAAAAACATCTCGAGTGGCATTTAAGTTAAAGTGGGCTCCCAATCCTTCCCTCAGGTTCCTGGGCTGAGCCAGCAGCCAAAACATCATACTGTGACAGGGTGGGACAGCCAGAGTTCTTCAGCAAAGAAGAAAACACATTACTAGGGTGGCTCAATCAGTAAAGGGAAAGTAAAACACAGAGGGAAAATCTTGCCTCTAAAAGAGGGAAGTAGACGGGGGTGGGTGGGCATCATAGCTACAATGGTGAGATGCAATGCTACTTATACAATACAGGCACATGGCCGCTGCCTTGTTGGCAGTTTCACACTCTGCACATTCACAGAGCTCCATCTGCCACCATCCAGGGAAGCTCCAGCCACAATGCAAACAGCCCATATGCTTTCAGCTCTGATTCTGCTACATGAGAAACAAGCTCAATGACTAGAAACAATAAAAATTACTGTTGACTCAAAACCTAGCAATAAACAGTGCAGCCCTAAGCAGAGTTCAACCCTGGTAAGCCCAATGACTTCAAGGGCGAAACTCTGATCAGGATTGCACTAATCTTTAAAATAAAATATGTCACTTTGGGTCTCATTTGCAAAGATGACACAGAACAACAGCAGAAGTACTGGAATGAGTTGCTTTGTTTTTAAGGTTTAATTTTACACGTAGAACGTTACTACTGTCCAGATTTTTAGATACGATTATTAAAACAGTAACCTTATCATCAAGCTCCGAGGTTCCAGCTAAGCAAAAAATAAATGGTTCAAAGCACAGAATGTTCTCCAACATAAACACAAATACCCCCGTGCTCAGATCTTGCGATTGGGCCAATTAACCTTGGCAGGCGTACACTGAGAAGGCTAGACAGAAACAAACTTACATCCCCAACCCAGTACACAGTGCCTTAGATGCAAGTCTTCAGTTTCAAGGGAACTTGCTTCCAAATATGTGTACTTTGGACAGTTTTAATCTAAAATTAGTTTGTCCATAAACTGAGTATCAGATGTACTTTCTCTGCAAGCTGTTCAGTCCCTTCAAAAGGAGTAAGATTTGCTTCGCACTGTCAGCAACCAAAATGGGCGCCACACAAAAGGGGAAGCTGTTTGAATGAAGTTAGTTTCTATATACCATGCAGCAGATTTCAACCACAGAATCACATCAGACAGCTTCCAATGCAGTTACATGAGAAACAAGCTTTAGACCAAGCCAGACATAAGCTCTAATACACACTTGGGTGGGTCATCACCACCTCCATTTCTTCGGGAAGAGTACTGGCATTAGCCTAGCAAAATATATGGGAAGAGCCAAGAGAAAGCGAGAACCGCAACTGATGTTCGCCGCTTCAGTGTGGCACAATGGACAAACTCTCGCAACAACCTTGCAGCACAGCCACAACACTGGAGGGCCAACACACACACCATTTCCAGTGGAGGGCTGTTATTTTGTTTAGTTGGCTAGTGCCGTTTTCCAAAAGCAACAAAGCTCTGTACATGTTGCTCCCACGCCCTGAACTTAGCTCTGATGGTTAAAAGCCTTTCAGGGTTGTGTGCCACAGGCGATGGCAGCACGTACATTACCACCAAGCTAAAGGCTGATGCCATTACAAGCAGAGCCTATGCATATACTGCGGCTGCCACAAGCTAAGAGGGTCAGGTGTACTGGGATATATGTGCAATCTTGCTGGGAAGGTGTGCCACATGCTCATGCTTATTTATTTAAAATGTTCCTATCCCACCTTTCCACAATGCCCAAGGCAGCTTAGTATAGAATTATTTCCTGGAAAGTAAAGCCAGGCCCATTCTCTTAAGCACTTCAGAGGATAGACTTTTCCTTGCCTTCAGGCAGCACTTCCTCACCTTTAGATGGTTAGCCTGTTTTATTTTTCATTTTTGTACAGAGCCTAGGGATTTGTGGTGTTGTAGGTTATCTATTTCTCTCTCTCCCTCTGTTCAGTGAGGCTTTTTCTTCTCTCACTGGGCCATTACATAGCCTAGCCGTGTGCTCTTCTTTTTGTTTAAACCCCCACCCTTATAGTCACACCAGATCAATCTGATATCTAACCAGATCATATGCCACGATCCATCCACCCCACCCACCCCGGAAATGTTTGTGTGATATTTTCCATCTTCTTTTCCCATGAGACAGGAGTCACCAACAGACGGCCAGACATCAGCTTGGAATATTGTTGTGGCAGAAGGGAAAACATAACAAGTTGCTGCCTTGTCCATCTGGTGTCCTTCTTTTCCCAAACCAAACCTTTTGGTTTCAGAGGCGGATTCGTAGCCAGGTCGCAAACTGTTTTAGCTTCTGCACATATTTATTATTGTTTATATGCTCTCTAAGTTTCTCAAAGAACGTTGCTTCTTTCCAGATCCCTTTACTTCTCTTCACAGCCTTCAGTTCAGCTTGGAGGAGCCTCTTGTGAAGCTTCCAGTATATCCTGGATTCATGAGACAGTCCTTCGACCCGGACGGTCCTGCCAAGCCCTTGTTTCAGGATTTCTTCATTCAGACAGATGCTCGAAAACCTGCCCTGTTCAGAAAGGAAATCTGGATGATGGATGTGTATCTTATGTGACAATTTCTAAAAGCGACAAGAAAAGCAATCAGATTTAAACATTTAAAACAGACAGAAACGGAAGAAAGAATACCCATTGCTCCTGTGCCTTAACTTACCTTACTGACCACCACGAGGCAATCAAGCATTGAATCCTTTCTTCCGAGAAGCTGGAACCACATCATTTGGGAGGGTTTTAGCTCCTTCTGTAACCAGACAGTACCATCTGGTGTTAGCGCCACACCAGCAAGCCTGACCAGCAGTAAACCATCTGTACGCCCTAAGACAAAGAAAACAAAGGGTTTTTTTGGAAAAAAATTACTGAATTATTACAGACATTTTATTGACTTTCTATACCTAAGAAGATATAAAGTAACTGGATAGCTCCTAGGTTTATAAAGAAGATTTCAAAACATTATTAGTTTTACAGTATTAAAAAATATATATTCTACAGCCTGTTGGATCCAAGAACTGTTTGGTAAATAATAATGTTCTTAGCCCAGAGAAACCAGTTTGGTGTAGTGGTTAAGAGTGTGGACTCTAATCTGAGAGAACTGGGTTTGACTCCCCACCCTTCCACATGCAGCTGTTGGTGTGACCTTGGGTCAGTCATAAGTTCTTTCAGACCTGTTCTCTCAAGGACAATTCTTGAGAGAGCTCTCTCAGCCCCACCTACCTCACAGGGTGTCTGTTGTGGGGAGGGGAAGGGAAAGGAGATTGTAAGCCACTCTGAGACTCCTTCGGTAGTGAAGGGCAGGGTATAAACTCCTCCTCCTATATTTTAGGACTAACCTGATACCTGTGCTTCTCTATGGTATTTAAGTTCTGTAAATCCAGTTATAATACTGATGATGTGAAATTTGAAATGTGACATTTGTTGTAGGAATTCTAATGGAGAAGACTGTAGTGTAAGAAATGAAGTGAGACATACGTACTCCCCCCCCCCCACTGAAGGACCTCTCTGTAGACCACATTGGTGGTTCTGCCCTCAGGTGCTAGGATCACCAGGCTGCTTGATGAGCTCACTCTGGCACAGGCCACATAGAACTGTCCTTTTAAGAAGCAGTTGTCTGTAAGTCCACTCCTGCTACCTTCCAGGAAAGTGATGGCCTCTCTACTTGTGTTCCTGGATTGTTTTGCTCATATGAAGACTGTGCTGTTCTGAGCACCTCAGGGTGATCTTGCTGATACTTGGCCTGTGCAGCTCAGTGCACTGCAGGAGTACTATATGCAAATGTCTTTGCCGCATTCCTAAGT